AAGACAACAGCAGGATTGCGGGCATTGTGCAAATTTTGGCCTGGAAACAATCAGGGGAACAAACACAGTGACAAATCCTTTTCGGATTTCTCGCTCGCTTTCCTCAAGGCTAGAAGTTTACAGCTTACCATGCCTGGACTGTCAGGAGCGTGCCGCAAGTGTGATCGAAAACACACATTTTGTTGCCGGGCGTTTCCTGCAGATGCTTTGTCCCCCTCTTCACTATGGGAGCAAAAGGAGGTGGGAGCATTTCATGTTCATGTCTGCTTGGTCAAGCAACACAGCATTCAGCTGTTTGTGGCAGAGCGTCATTTTGATTCTTTCGTTTTCCTCACTTATGTCATGTGCGCACGCATTGTTTGCTTGGGCCTCAGGTACTGGAAGTTCATGCGCCAGATCCACCATGTGTCCCAACATGACGGCACCATGCACCTTCAGCTGGACATGCGGGCCTGGGCCTCAACTTGAAGTTTGACTCCCCCTGTGAGCCACCTCGCCAATTATTTGCGGTATGTCTAATTCAAGGACATGTCGACGAGAGGTCCTCCTTGAAGGTAAGCGGGCCATAGAAGATGCCAGAGGGGCTGTGCAGTTTTGTGAGTTGGGAAGTGATGATCGGGTTTTTCTAGGGGGTGGCTCCAACCATGGTGTTCATCTTCCATGCGCTTGAGAATATTGTTTACTTTCTATGTTGCTTTTAAGGGAGTCTATCACTACTGGACATGTTGTGTTTGTTTAGGGGACTTAATTTAAGCAAATGGGGGTCATGCGTCTATCTTTGCAAACACCATCTGTCTTGCCGGATGTCGGGCAATCACTCCCAGCAGAACGATTTCCTGAATGGCAAGCTTGCAGGCCGTTTCAAGATGATGCACATGTCGGCCTTGTCGAGAGTCATTTTTTCCCGCGGCTTACGCAACCTAAGCATGTGACGTTGGTAGCTTCAAGGGTTCCTGTCTTACCTCCGGAGGCCAGCTTTGGAAACCCGCCGCACTTGCCCCAAGGGCAATCATGTAATTATGCAGCATCCAACATGGGCCGGAGGCTATTGAATTGTCACTCCCCGGCTCTTGGAAGAGCAATCCCTGCTTCCCGTGCTTTCTCTCAAACTCACAATGCCCACCCCCAAAAGCCAACAGGTGTCTTTTGGCTCTGGGTTGGCGGCAGTGGGAAGCCCGCTGAACTCTAGCCAACTGCGCTTGCTTTTTCTGAGGCAAGGCCTAAGGGAAACCGACCATCAGACGCAACTCTCATTTAGGGTTGAGATTGGCGAGGTTTGCTTGTTTGTTACAGTTCAGAGGTTCCTCCCCTACTTCCAGCAATATCTAGGAACCACCACTCCACTCGGGAGCCAGTAGCCGTGGTTTCCGTCCGCCGTAGACAGGAAGGCCCACGAGACAGATATTTCCCTCGCGTGGTGATGTTTGAAAAAGGAAAATGCATGGCAAGGCCCTTGAAGACGTCGATGTCTCTCCGTCTCTCCTGTGAGGTGAAGATCCCGATGTTCAGGTGCTTGGTGTCCATCTTCGCTCCGCGACTCGGCACGAAGATTTGAAGCGTTGGTTGGAGTTTGTCCGGGAACAGAGTCGAAGCCACCTTCTTTCCACCTATGGGGCTGGATGACCTCTGATCACAGATCCTTCGGGGATTCCTGAGTTCAGATTGGTGGGCACCGGCAAGCTCTGCAGACTTGCTCCCAATTCAGTGGGCCAAAGGAGCCTCCACCTGGACCGCCTTACCGGCCACATGGGGGGCAGCGAGCAGTGCAGTCTGCAGATGGACGAGGCGATTGCGAAAGACGTGCCTCGCCCTCATAGCAGCTATGCCATGGGTAGGGGCAGGCCATTGATTTTGCTCGCCAATTTGTCGCAGACTGAGCTTTGCAGAGGGTATCTCCCCAATGAGGCCGCCCAAGCAAGTGGAACCTTTGTTGTCAGGCCCTCCTTGCCAGGCATTTGGAGAACGTTGGAGATAGGTATTTGATCCCTGCCCACTTTTGCTGGACAACATTCAGGGGACCCTAAAAGGGGTCTTGAAAAGCGGGTTCTGACCGTGCATCCGAAAGGAACCCAATCCTTTGAAGCCAGATGCCGATGATTTGCCGACAACGTGTTGACCAGTTTCACCTCGTACCTTGAGGTGAACCTCACGTCGCAGCAGGTGATCATCCGCGCCAGGGCCATGCCCGAGAAGCTGTCCCTCCAAAGCTCGGGGCCCCAAAGCGCAGCGGACGTGGAGCGGATGACAACGTGGAACGATGTTTCATGGGGGCCTCCAGGTGTTTTTGGCTTTGAGCCTTTGGAGCCACCCACCGAAGGGTCCCCCATTTCGTGACGCGCCCGCACGAATGTGGCCAAGAAGGGACCCCTTGAAGGTACGTATTCTCAAGGAGATGTTGGCAGCGGAGCCAAAGGGCATGTAAGCTTTTGCAAAGGGTTTGTAGCAAACACTGAGGAAGGTCAGGCACCTGGCCATTGCAACTTGTCCCATTTTGGTGGGAGAATCACGAGGTGGCCAGCCAGCCTCCCAAACGTGGAAGTGGTGTTCCAGGGGCCTTCTGGTCCGAGGCTCGCTGGGCATCGTGGCTGTATGGCCGCGATCGCTGCCTGACACCTGGGAGGCCAACATCCAGGCGAGCGTTTGGCCAAAAAAAAGGAAAGCCTGCAGGTTCCATGGGGCTGCGGGCTTGGGTGTTCCTGAAAGTTGGGGAAAGTGGAGCATTGTCCAAGGGGTTGGGAAACTTGAAACTTCTTAGACAGAGGACCTGGCAATCAATGAAAAGCCTCGCCTGTTTTGCGTCGCTGCAACTCCCACAACTCCGCCCCTAATTAAACTCAATATCTGGAAATCCTGCACTTGGCAACTGCTCCTGACACAAGCAGCGGTGCCCCAACCCTCCCACGAGCTAATCACATTCGGGAAGAGCGGATTTGTTTGGCGTTCTGTTGGTGTCCTTTTGTTTCCTTGTGGTTTCCTTTTGCCTTCGGTTTTCCCCTCGGGCCGGCTGACGCCAGCCCGCCAGCCCAAGGGCCTGAAAGCGTTCGAGCGGGAGAGGCGGACCATGCCAACGTCTTGGTGGAGGTGCCGGGCACCTTCTCCCTGGACCTGGCGGGGCACGGGAAGAAAAACTCGGCGCCGCGCTCGAAATGGGCCGCGCACGGCTGTTCCCTGGGAGCGGGGGGGAATCATTAGGCCACAACGAGGTGGTTTTGGGGTTTGGGCTGGAAGCCAAGAGGTTGAACCTGGATAGATGTGTTCCGACTTTTGCCGAACTTTTGCCCAAAGGAAGCCAACAGGTTGGACCTGAGTCTTTCCCTGAAGCCAAGGGAATTGTTCATTTGGCTTGGGATGAATGGGTGGAGGTTTCTGTTTTGGACCTGTCCCAATCCATGAGGTGGGAGGGATTTGGTGCTGGATTGATCATGCTTTGATTTGCCTAAAGCATACTTGGTTTCCCACCTTCCCACCTTTCGTTGTTACGCGGGACGCAAGCTTTGCCCCGTTTGTTTAACCAGCTACTTCGTTCATATTGCCAAGACGCATGCTTTTTGACCTGCTTAGAGTTGCCACTTGGATGTTGCTGGTTGACAACTGTCCCGGGCGGCTGGGGGGGGGGGGTAGGGGGTGGAGGAGACATACGAAGAGGACTGTCTTAAAGCAGGCTGGTGAAAAAGCAGCATTGGCAATGGTGCCAGCTTTCGGTTCGCCCTACCTTAAGTTTGCTATATTTTTCTATGTTCCCCCAAAGCATGGGCATTCAATTTTGTACCGTAATTGCAAGTTTCATTCAGATATAGACGTGTATACAAATATATGGCTATATGTATTTACATTTGAAGACACATGTGCAGTACGCATACGCAACATGTGTTTTGTCTCCCCATATGTGGAACCCAGGTGCTCTGCGCCGATTCCATCGAGGAGAACGGCGCCGACAAGCGGCTCAGACAGGAATCGATGACCCGCAGAATTAGTTGCCCTTTTTGATTTTTATGTTTTTTGGGGTCCCCTTTGTTTTCCACAAACCAAGCAAGAATGTATTTTTTGCTGGGGTCCTAGTTCCGGCCGAGAGAAAATGTGAAAATGAGAGCAAGGGAATCCCGGTTAAAACGATACAGTTGTCACAAGGAAGGGCTATTCTCCACAATCACAAGGTGTTCCCCCTTTTCGGTGGCCCTTTCGTGGGGCTTTTTGAACGGGATACGCAACGGGAAATCACGTGCGCTTCGATCCCGGTGTGCCAAAGCGCAAATTCACCACCTGGATGTCCGGCTCGGCTTCCCCTTGCGCCACCAGACAGGAAGGGCACCAAGGAGATTTGGAAGCGATAAGGCTTTCCGTGTCTACAAGGGTGTCATAAACCAGGGCCTTATTCTGACAGTTTTTGTTTTTCACAACCAGCTTCCACGCATTAGGCCGGTACGTCTTGTTCACCCTTTCTTGGGGTTGGCTTTAACGGAGCACGAAGGGTTGCACCATCTCTCGTTTGGCTGAAAGCTCCCAGCCTGGAGCCGAGGTACCTTATGCAGCACGGGAGCGGCGGGTCCATGGGCAAGGTGCGCTTTGAAGCAGTCAAGGAGTCTCCGCAACGGTTAGGGCTCATTGAAGTGACGTGCTAAACCAACTCAGGATGTTTGCAACGCAATTTCACCCAGACGAAGGACGTCTACACGTGCAATCCACCAACAAACCAACTTATGGCTTTTGGAAGGTTCGGAGTGGGTTGCATGACAATTCCTAAAAAGTTCCCACAAGCCTTTTGACAACCGGCGAAACTGCTTACTTTCTTGTACCTGCTGGATCCTATTTGCACAAATGGCGCCAGCCGGGCGTTTGCGACCTGAAATGTTTCCCGGGGATCCCTACAGTCAGGTAAACCACAGTGCCGATTCTTTGTTTAACCCTATCGTTCGACTGTTCTTTAGGGATTCTGGAGAACTTAAAGGTTCCGGATTTTTGGTTACTTGATCGTTTTGTCGTTTGGTGTCTTGGTCTCCAACCTGGAGAAATGAAGTAAGGAGTCAGGGTTTAGGGAATGAAGCCAGGGATCCCCTCAGCAACCGCAATGGATGGATCATAGGGGTCATCCCTCCCCTGAGAACCGCCAAGGTTGCCCTCCCTGCACCTGAGACTGGGGGGTGGCTCGATTGGGATTTGGAACCCGGAGTGGCAGAGGCTCCTCAAAATCCCCTGTGTTGAACCTCCAAACGTGGCAGTTTTAGAGCACACCACCAGTAAATGGCAACTGTTTAAGTGGGAGCGAAGCCGCTGAAAGGGGCATGCCATAGGTTGGTTTGCCTCCCCCAAGAGGGGGTCAACCGCTGAATCTGATTGTAGAACATCGGGATGTGAAGCACGTTTTCTTTGATTCTGGGGAGGCTACCCCTCCAAAGTGTAAAGTGATAAAATAGTCATAGTTTCCGTGCCATGAAACGTATCGTTGCACTATCTAGCACTCAGCAAGAGGCATGCGTATAACTGCGGTCTTGCCATGTCCTGCCACTTGGGCGCTAGTGTAGGTTGTGTGTATCTCAGCATCCCGTAGGGGAAGCCCATGGGACCCACCAGTTAGCGCACGTTTTTTTTGCAGGGTTCACCATTTGCGCCCTGGGCCAGCCGCAGGAAGCCGCGGGCTACATCAAGGCCGGGGATGACTGGGACACAGACCTGAAGGTCCTGCGTGGCAGCGCCTTGGAGGGTTCGCAGATTAACGTGGAACCCCAAGAGAACAGGTCGAAAACCTCTAGATAGCACAAGAAAGTGCAGGAACGTCTGCAGATTGACGGAATCAACTGTCGCAGAGACCACAAGCAGGGCGTGACGATTTTTTCCAGATCTGCTTGCCAAGGGATGAGTTTGCAGCACGCAGCAGGGCCCACAGCCCTTCCCCATTGACACTCTCCGATGCCGGTTGGCGCGCGTGCGTATTCAAGAAATCACTCATACTGATACTTGGAAAGTGGGAAGCGATTGAATTTTGGGAAGCGCTCATCGTCAAGGGGCCCTTTGTCCCGGGACACGGCCGCGGCCCCCGAGTAGCACTCAGCAGGTCTAGACGCCGCGCCACTTGGGCAAACAAAGTGAAGCGCCACGCCACACCGCTTTGGGTAGGTCTTTTTGGAGGACCCCTCCTGCGTTGGTCCAAAAAGTGAAGCCAACAAGAAACGCGCAAGTTTGTTGAACCCCTAATTTGAGATCAACCCATCTCATGGCCCGTCTCATGGCTTTCGCAAAAGCCCGCCACCAACAGGGATATGCACCTACTGCCAACCACAAATATTGCGGCCATCCAGCATTTTCCTCTAAACCAAGCAAACAAAATCAACTTTCGCAGGCCTAATACTGGAAAAGAAAGAGATTGCCTGGGTGTGGCAAGTTTGTGACACCTGCTCGCAGACCTTGGGCATGGCCGACCTGCAAAACCAAGTATGCTTAGTTCTGCGGGTGGGTTCCGAATATTTGGATGCTGTTGGCATGGACAGCATCCAATTTTTTGAGGAATTCGTTTGGTTTGTGGGTCACTATTTGCGAAGCCACTCATGAGAACGGAGAGCACCTTTCTCGCGCCCTTCAAGAGGAGTTACTCAAACGCTTAGTCCGATGGTTGTGGACATTTTTACATAGGGTGGGGCCTGCTTCTGTGATACTAATCCCATGCACGGTGATAAACTGACGGGGTCAGCCACGTTTGTATGACAGAAAAGCTTATTTTCCATGGCCATGAACTTCCCCTTCTTCAGGAACCAACTTGTCATGGTTGGTCTTCGGTGTGACCTAGGCCACTGCGACCTTTTGGAACAAGTTGCTTTTTCATTGTACCTGCAAGAGGTCTAACGACCTTTTGCTCAGGGGGAGATCACGCGACTCAGTCTTGCAGAAGGAAAACCGTTTATTTTTGGTGGTTGCAGCCACATGTTGTGGTTTTTTGGTTTAGGGTCTTCGATGCTGAAACCCGAGGTGCTCATGAGGAGCCCTCTTTGTTCAACAAGTCCATGGAGGATCTCAACGAGCTTGCAGATTGGAGCCTTGGAGCATTTTTGTTTCGGCTCGGACGAGCAAAGTTGGCCCTTGCACAAGATGTCCCTTTCCAGCTGACCAAGCACAGCAATCCGGTTGGTGTTGCTGGTGCCGTTTTTGGGGGGAGGTGATGTGTGTGTGTGTGTGTGTCCAGGTTGCCATCGATTTAATCAAAGCTGGACCCCCGGTTACTGTTACTTGCGTAAGACATGGGACGACACTCCTAATCTCCAACTGCCAATCCAAGGCACCAATTGCAGGGAAGCATTTTTTTTGCCAGTGGCATACGCCCAGTCTTTCATCCACGGCGTCTTGAATGTTGGAAACAAGGCACCCCCTAAGTGGGACCACAGGTTTTTGGTCTTTGGTTCCATGACCAGGGTTCCATTTTGGGTGCTTATTTGTGACCCACACCCAGGTGCAGGAACGCTCTTGTAGGGTCCCTTCATTTTCCATCAACAACAGGCGAAAGGGAAACCAGTCGTTTTGACCCGACAAGTCGCACTCATTTTTCTCGATCTGACAATTGCTCTGGCAACGGCTGGACCAAGTAGGGCGCACGAGTAGGGCTTCGCTATCACAATAGATGCTGGCAATCTGGCAATGGAACCTGCTGTGATACCAGTGGAAGATGTTCACGTCTAAGGGGGGTATTCTGGTATCAATTGAGTGGTAATTCCACCCCCCTGGTTCGCACAACCTTGTTCGTTAGAGTTTCCTCAGGGCCTTCGAGAAGGGGGTGGGAGCAAGTTCAGACAAGGCGCAATGTGCAAAATCTAGTCCCCAACGATGAGCGGTTCGCGGCTTGCGGTATGCGGATTATGGATTCCGGGTTGTGCAGATGTTCGACGCTCCAGAAGGCTTTGACCCCACAATTTGCAGCACAGATGATGGATTGTGGAGATTAACCAAGCATGGATTGCTTGGATTACGAATTGTGATCAGGCCCCGGGATTTCGAACAGGCCAGGTTGCCATTGGGCTTCAGGATTTTTCATGCTGCGCCTAGAAGGGGTACCTACTTTTCCGCTCTTTGGGCGGCTTCAAGATCACCATTTTGCGGGCCGATTGGTGGGGAAGACGGGGTCTTTCTTCGCATGTGCCGAGAACGGTCCCAGTTCATGTTGACGCAGCCGCATTCCGCGGGTCCAAAAACAATTTTTGATGGACACCCATGTCAGTGTTAAAGAGCATCCTTTCTGGCATTGCTGGTGGGAAGTCCAAACAAAGCACAGCACCCCTTTGAATCCATTTGAGGGTTTGCCCCGCCCCATTTAGAATGACTGCTCCCTTAAAGTGCATATTTTAAGGGGTTCTCAAATTATGTTTTGGGGGGGTCCCTTTCAACCACAATTTAAGAGGGCAGTTTCGAGGATATCACTTTACTGGACCCAGCTAGAGGCAAGTGAGGGGGGGGCAAGAAGCCACGACTCAGGATCCACACGCGCACAGAGAGCATGGCGCCGTGGGTGGCGAGGATCCACCTCAACGGGCCCAACCTGCCCAAGGGCGCCTGGGAAATGCTGTCCTCCGAGGTGCGGGAGAGAGATCCAAAAAGGGAACCGGAGCCTACATGGGGTCGTCTAGCTCTATATCGCTTTGCAGCCAGTTCAAACATGATGTCTTGGTTGCCGCTTTCGGTTGGCTTTCTTCTTGGGGCGATGTTTAACTGTAGCTTTCTATTTTCCCAAAAGGAAGCCAACAACGGCATGTGGAAACCTGTTTTTAACACCTGGAGGGAGGAGCGGGAGTCAGAGAGCACTGGAAGGTTGGTCGGACGTCCCCGTGTGTTGCGGATTCCCGGCCCGAGAGCCGAATTTCATATTGAGTGCCCTCACAAAGGGGATGATTCAATGATCGACCTCACTGCGTTCTTTTGGGTTTCCTTTTCTCACGTTGGCGGTAATTTTCTCCCCTGCAAATTGCATCACAAAGATATTCCTCTGCAAGTGTGTGGCTTTAAGTTCCGAGTCTTCACTGGATTTCCCCGCGGGCTGGCAAATCTGGTCCTTTCAGCCTCACACCAGGCATGATGGCACAATTCGCTGGCCATGAGGCAAGTGGATGGTGAACAGATCGAACTTGTGCCATCTACTTTCACCTCACTTGAGTCCCTGCACCGCTCCTGCACCCGGACTTCATTTTCTTGGAAAGACCCGTTTGGTTGGTCAATCTCGATTGGACGCGCAATTTCCACCACCTCAAAAGGCCTTTGGCTGAATTTAGCCTTGTGAGACTGGGCAGTGCCCCCCCGCCCCGTTTGGTTTCAAACCGCTTGCGGCCCCCCAGTTCGGGCCAACCCCCAAAAAGCGGCCGACAGCGGAAGCCGCCGACAGAGGCCTTCCTCACGGTGCCGCTGCAGTGGTACGTGCTGCTGTCCGGCGGGACGCTGCGGCCCAAGGTGCGAGAGGCGCTATGGACCGGGGTCCGTCTCAGATGTTTGAAGGGTATGGTGCGGAGCCCGGAAATGTCGGAGTAGATGTGGGTCAAGTGAATAGGGAAACGTTAAAGGAGCCAAGGAGACTGTAAGAATTCACTGGAACCAAGGGGTTGGTTTGTGGCGACAGGTGCATCTGCATCCCATGGGCCTCAACGCCTGGCCCGCGGGGGAGCAGAACGCCACGAAGCTGCGCAAGGGCAAGGCGGGCCAGCGGAGAATGGAAGGGGAGGCGCCTGATCATTCTGGTGCGAAAAGTAGGGAATGAGGGAATGAACCTGAGGGTCCCCTTAAAGGAGACCCACAGGGGATGGTTTATAGGGGTCATTCCTTCATTCCCTACTGAGCACCAGCAAGTGATGTGAGCAAGTGACTGAGTCTCCTCTTTGCGGTGATGTTTGCGGGGGAAATGGAGGGAGCACTGTGTTCCCCGAACTTGGGAAGATTTCAGCGTTGTGATGGTGAAGGGCATTCAAGACGCAGAAGAGCAAACCTTAGGGGGATCCCGCAGCGGGGCATAGGGACAGGCTGCCGCTGGCTGTAGAGAGACTGGCTCTGCAAGGCCTATGGCCGACCCACAGGTATGCAATGAGGCTTTGCTTGGGACCATGTTACGCAGAGGGAAGCCTGGAAGCCAGGAATCCAGGAATTCAGCCTCTGAACGGGAGAATAGGTTCCTTCTTTCTCAGCGGTCGCGTGACTGGCGCGCGCCACGGCGGGCTGTGTCCTTGAAAACTCTGTCTTTTGGCCATAATCCTTATGCCAGAAGAAGTGTCTTCCCTTCTTGCGATGCCCAATGGCGGATCACGCATTAGGTTTAGGGATCCGGACCCCATTTTGAACTAACAACCCAGAACGATTAACTGGTTGAAAGTTGCGGCAAGGTGGACAAGATTGTTATGGACGAGCCCCTCGCCTGCGTGATCCACGACGTGTGAGGGCTGGGACCGTGAAGGGTTCTTCCAACGTGCATGTTTGCGGGCTCAGCCACATACCCTCCCAAATCACAGCGGGTAAAAGACTCAACCTCCTCCACAACTCTGGCTAGAAGCAAGGAAGCGCAAAAATCGCTTAAACAACCAGACCCTGGCCCCCCACAATTAAAAAAACATGTCGAATAGGAGCCTGTTGCAACAAGAGCGGCTTAGGCTTCAGCAAGGCGATGGCCGCATCCTGCTCTCCTGAGATGGACTTGGGACTTTTGGGGAAAGCGGTGTGGCAAACAACAACTCTGGATACTTTTTTGCAGTGAGCTGTGCTAATGGTGCCCTTTTCCCCATGTGTTGGAGCTTGACCCAGAAGCTCTGGACGTGGGTGCGGCGTTCTATGAAACCTCAGGAGTGAGTGCTGGTTCTGTGTAGCTTCGGCCCCTCAGCTAGCTTCTGCTCGAAGCAGGGGATGGCCCCATGGATAGAAATTCCCGGTTCCTAAATGGGTTCCAATATATACACGCGTTCCGCAAAAGAAAGGGACCCGGATCTTTAGGCTTCAACACGGAGGGCACAACAAGTTTGTTCCACTTTTTGCTTGCAGAGGGCTGGTTACGCCCAGGTTCGAGATGCTGAAGCCCTACATCCTGAAGGCGGGGGCCCCTGGGGCCACCGTCGCCTGGGTGCCCCATGAGGGCCGGCCCCTGGTCTTCAGCAAGACCACCAACAAGTGGTCTGCCTCGGAGCTCAGCTACGCCCAGGCGGGGTTCGCTGAAACCAAACACGACACCATACCTGGCTGTAGGTCAAAACCAATGGTATCATTTTGGTTGGGATTGGTGAATTCACCACCCATTTTAGAACCTGTTTTAGTGGGGATTGGGATGTTCACTGGGGTTAGGGCATTTTGACCCATGGCCACCTCAAGGCAGAGGTTTTAGTGGAAACCCACCAGTTTTGGGCTCCCCCTGTTTTGCCACATGCCCAGGGAAGCCGCCTTGCCGGTCTGCGAAAAGGGCGGGATTTCAAGAATCGGCCAGGTGAACGTGATGATGCTCTTGATCGCTGTGAGCTTCAACCTGGTAGTGTCGGTGTTGGTGGCCGGCTTCGTGATCATGTGGCGGGGAAGCCCAAGAACTCCCCAGGTTTTACTTAAAGCGGGTCTGCTTGCTTTGAGGCCATCTTATGGGTTCCCTCATGTTGACACATACCTAGTATTCCCAACGGAGGTCCTGAAATCGCCTTCTTGCCCGAACCTGGGGGAGCCCCCAGGAAGCCACAAGAGATGGTTGATGGTTGTCATTCCCTTCTCAGGAGCCACCATGGCCGTGACAGCCTGCGGAATGGGGATCGCCCCACTATGGAACCAAGGCTGCAGGCGAACGCCGACTTCCAGCAGGAGCTGAAAGATGAGGCCGTGACCACGGCCTCCTCCCACCGAGTGGGCAAGCTTCATGGAAAGCCGCGTGCTCAGACACGCAGCGCTTCCAGCGCCCAGAAGTGAGTGTATACATATATATATATATAGATATGTATAAATATGTATGGTCACCCCCTTATATAGGTGACCAGGCAAAAGTCAAGGCCAAACAGCACGCACGTTGTTCGAGGGTTGGGCCAAAACTGGTTTTAACCACCAAGTGTGTTGAACCATTCATGTATTTGTTTGTTGTGATTTTGTTCCCCTTTTTGGGGTGGCTTTAAAGGCGAAGCAACGGCACCCGCCATTTGGATCCCCGTTTGACACCGGGGCCAACGGCTTGGCCCAGCGCTTCAGACTTCAGGACGAACAGCAGCTGGCGCATCATCGCGGCACACGTGGAGCAGCCGGACCAGGCGCGCGGGGCACATGCGGTGGATGGCTCACTCCAAATCGGTGGACTTTGATTCTTGTTGGGGTCTTGAGAAGACTGCCTCAAAGGGGTCCAAAGAGTCGAGTTGAAGCAGTTTCTTTTTGCACGTTTGGAGGGCACAGACTTAGCAAGGGGCTTTGCTCTTTGGTGTAGAGGAGTTGTAGTAGCCAACGCTGCAGTTGTGTTGATGTTGTTTTGCACGTTGCGGCTGTGCCCGGACTTGCATTTGTTGGCTGCAAGTTTACTTTTGCCCATTCGGTCGACAACACATATGCAAGGGGAACGATAGTTTCGAGCTTCTTAGCCACGCTGTTGACAGCGCACATGCACGGCCAAATGTTAGCGTGTCAGCCCACGTGCACACACACACACACAGTCGAAAGCACACATTCCCGGCCAAACGTTTGCATCCACGCCCAGGTGCACACACACAAAGTTGACTGCAAACATGCGCGGCCCAATGTTAGCCCATGCGCTGGTGCACATGCACACGCACACACGCTCACGCACACGCACACGCGCACACACACACACACACACGCACCCACACCCACACCCACACCCACACGCACACCCCCACCCCCACCACCCCACACACCCACCCCCACCTCCACACACCCACCCCCGCCCCCACCCCCACCCCCACCCCCACACAGAGACACACACACACACACAGAGACACACACACACACAGAGACACACACAAAGAGACGCACACACACACAGAGACACACACAGACACACACACAGACACACACACAGACACACACACACAGACACACAGACACACACACACACAGACACACACACAGACACACACACACACAGACACAGACACAGACACAGACACAGACACAGACACAGACACAGACAAAGACACACACACACACACACACACACACACACACCCACCCACCCACACGCACGCACGCACGCACGCACGCACGCACGCACGCACGCACGCACGCACGCACGCACGCACGCACGCACGCACGCACGCACGCACGCACGCACGCACGCACGCACGCACGCACGCACGCACGCACGCACGCACGCACGCACGCACGCACGCACGCACACACGCACACACGCACACACGCACACACGCACACACGCACACACGCACACACGCACACACGCACACACGCACACACGCACACACGCACACACACACACGCACACACGCACACACGCACACACGCACACACGCACACACGCACACACGCACACACGCACACACGCACACACGCACACACGCACACACGCACACACGCACACACGCACACACGCACACACGCACACACACGCACACACGCACACACGCACACACGCACACACGCACACACGCACACACGCACACACGCACACACGCACACACGCACACACGCACACACGCACACACGCACACACGCACACGCACACACGCACACACGCACACACGCACACACGCACACGCACACACGCACGCGCACACGCGCACACGCGCACACGCGCACACGCGCACACGCGCACACGCGCACACGCACGCACACGCACACGCACACGCACACGCACACGCACACGCACACACACGCATCCACACGCACGCACACGCACACACACACACACACATTGAGACACACACAAGGAGACACACACAGAGACACACACAGAGACACACAGAGAGACACACGCACACACGACACACGCACACACGCAGACAGACACACAGACGCGCCACACAGCATCGAGACACACACGCACACATCGCCGCACACACGCCGACACAGACACGCACGCCACACGCCACACACACACGCGCACACGCGCACACGCGCACACGCGCACACGCGCACACGCGCACACGCGCACACGCACACGCGCACACGCGCACACTCGCACACGCACACACGCACACACGCACACACGCACACACGCCACACACGCACACACACACGCACACACGCACACACGCACACACGCACACACGCACACACGCACACACGCGCACACGCGCACACGAGCACACGCGCACACCCGCACACGCACACGCGCACCCACGCACACGCACACACACGCACACACACGCACCCACACGCACGCACACGCACACAGACACACACATTGAGACACACAGAGACACACACAGAGACACACAGAGAGACACACAGAGAGATACACAGACGCACACAGACGCACACAGACACACACAGACACACACAGACACACACAGACACACACACAGACACACACACAGACACACACAGACACACACAGACACACACAGAGACACACACAGAGACACACACAGAGACACACACAGAGACACACACACAGACACACACAGACACACACAGACACACACACACACAGACACACACACAGACACACAGACACACACAGACACACACAGACACACACAGACACACACAGAGACACAGAGACACACACACACACACACACCCACACACACACACACACGCACGCACACACGCCCACACGCCCACACGCCCACACTTCCACACGCCCGCACGCACGCATGCGTGCGCGCACGCGCGCACGCACGCATGCACGCACGCACGCACGCACGCGCCCACGCACCCACGCACCCACGCACCCACGCACGCACGCGCGCACGCGCGCACGCACGCATGCACGCACGCACGCACGCACCCACGCACCCACGCACCCTTGCACACACGCACCCACGCACGCACGCACGCACGCACGCACACGCACGCAATCCGCACACACACGCACACACGCACACACGCACACACAACACACACACACACAACACACACACACACAACACACACACACACACACACGCACACACACACACACACACTCCACAGTCCACAGTCCAGTCCACAGTCCACAGTCCACAGTTCACAGTCCACAGTCCACAGTCCACAGTCCACAGCACATGTGCACGGCCAGATTTTAGCAGCCACGACGTCCACGCCTAACTGCGCACCAGTACACATGATAGTGTCCACGCCCAAGTGTGCACACACTTGACAGCACACATGTGCAGCGAGTGTTCGCATTCATGTCCCGTTGGCAGTCAGCACACATGTCAGCGTCGGCCAACATCCAACAGCACACATGCATGGCAGAGAGTTCTTCAGTGGCTCTGGCGAAAGGATGTCCGTGCCGCGAAAGTGCAGCGGCTTGCACGGTTGGCTGCCGCGGCACAGATTCAACCATATTTTGCAGGCTGAAACATCGTGATTGCGCCTGACTTGGCTGACTGTTTTGTCTTAGAGCCGTGCTCACTTTGGGTCCCTAGCCAATGCTAAGAACCCCTTGCAAGAAGATTTGTGAAGGTGATTTCAACGCTAACGATCAATTTGAATCCGCAACCCGCTCAGCGGGGGCAATGCTGTGAACTGCTTTCTTTGCCCGAAGCGTGCAAAACGTCAGTGGATCCTTTGTCAAGTGGCGGCTTCAGCATCAGCGGCAAGGATTCCTTTTCGGAATTCTAGATTGTCCAGGGGCAGTCCAAATAATCCGTCCCTTACAAGACGTTTAAGATCCCTTGGCAGTGGTTTCCACAAAGAGATTGTGCACAATCGGATTGGGCAACCAACTCCCAAGCCCAGGTGTGGATTTCAGTTGGCCTTGGGGTGACGTTGGCCTTGGGGTGACCTGTCCTTTTTCGGTCTCCAAGCCTCAATTTCCTTTGGGGGGACGGGGGCAAGGGCCACAAGCCACGAAGCCCCGAGGGTGTGATCCTGCGCTGGCGCAAGCGCACGGGGGTGCAGAGCTCCGCAGGAAGCCCAGAGAAGAGCCGAGCCGAAGGGACGGATCCCCGAGAATTTGTTTGAATGCACGAAGGTGGGGGGACCTTGTAATTCATCATAATTCACCTCAACATTTTCTTGCCGGCTTACTTTTGCACGGTGGGTTGGTCAGCCAAGGGCCGGTGACTCGATCTTGAGGCCTTCCTTTGCGTGAAGGCGAAGGCGGACCCGGATCCGGCACGGGGCCTGGAGGGGGACGAGATTTGCATCGACATGGCCGTGCAAGAGCGCGTAGACCTGAATCTTGGCAAAACCCACTGCAACAAACGGCGAGCGAGGAATGAATCCCAGGGAGCTAAAGGGTGCTTCCAGGCAAGCCACTGGCAACCTGGCACAGGGTTGATTTCCCCGGTGTTACTGCCCCTTGTTGAACGGACAGTTTGTCCGTATCGGTTGTGAGCGAGATCGGTTTTGCAGGTTGATATCTGTCTCCGGAAACGAAAGCTAAACCGGTCGAAGCAAGGTTTCCAGAACTGGAAAACAACAACGCCAATTATCCGGGCTTGCTTTGACTGGACACAGCTTAGCAGGAATGATTGCCAGACATGATGTCATTATTATGTAAACATTTTGCAAATCGTCAGGCTTGCCTCCTCTTGGGTTTTTAGCGGGTGGCTTCCTTTCGGTTGCCTACTGCTGACGCCCGTGCAATTCTGGGCTGAGGAAATCCGAGAGCAACATCATCATCGAGTTCTTCTTCTCGGCCTCGGGCCTCTTGGATCCGCATTCGTCAGGTCGGTGACGGTCAGTGCGGGCAGCTTCGGAACCCTCCCGAGCTCCGGGAAAGCCTGGCCGGCCAGACAGGGCTTCAGGCCATGTTTTGCTTTTTGCAGAGGTGACGTTTGCACAGGAGGAATCAAGCGTCTGGTGGCTTATTGGGTGATGAGTCGGTTGCCTGCGCTTGGAAGCCAAGTGCGGAGGTCCCAATGCGGCAGCCTTGCCATGAATTTGCCTGGTCAAGGTCACCTCGGATTCGGCCAAGCTGATTTTGAGGAAAATGCAAAATCTCGTGCAATCACACCTCGCCAGTCCGTGGGGTTCTGTTTGGGTCGCTGGACGTAGCTGTCACGGTTCGACTTGAGACCTGAGGCAGTAAAGGCTATCCCCCGGAGGGCGGCTACGAGCCCACGGGCAAGGATCTCAAGTGCCAGTACAGCTACCGCTTCCAGGTGGAGGGCTACAACCAACACCAGGCAAGAGCGCGCCGTCAATTTCAGCGGCCTTTGAGTTGAAGCATCGCTTTCTGAGAAGGGGCAGGGGATGGGGTTGGATCAAGGCCGAAGGCTTGTTTCAAGTTGTGGGCATTACGTGGAGCTTGGCGGCGCGGAACATGTTTTGTCTCAGAAAGCCACGATGCTTTTTGTTTTTTTGAGCTGAGATTGGCGACCCTAAGAGAGAGAGCTAGGGCTTGTCGGGCACTGGCCAAACAGAGAGCCAACTGGCACGTGGCTCTTTGGGAGGACGGGAGGCGAGTGTGATTCTTGGATAGCCCTTTCAAGCCCAAACTGGACGTTTGTGCTTCGCTGTGTTGACATGTTGGGCATGTTGTATGTTTTCTTTCTTTGTTTCTTTCTTGCTTGCTTGCTTTCTTTGTTCGTTCTTTGTTGTTTGCCCTTTGTTCTGTTTTGGGGTTGGGGCGGTTCAACACGTGCGCCAGGAGCTGGTGGCCGTGTCCGACTGGTCCAACGAGGTCTACATCAAGCCAAGGACACTGATGCAAGGCCCTTGCCCAGTAGCACCCTCGGTTGCTCCGAGCCTTGAACAGATGTCCAAGACTCAGCGGTAGACATTTGGTGAAGCTTCTGTTTTTGTGTTTCTCTCTCTCTCGCTCTCTCTCTCTCTCTCTCGCTCCATGGGCAATTCCAAGGGTTTTGGGGCAAACCTATGCTGGGTAGGTTCCGAGCCGGAAATGTTCAACCCCTTCAAGATATGTCTGTTCTATTGGTGCCAACCTGACGGTGGGTTCCCAAGCGTTGGTCGCTGATTACAGCTGGGCAGGGTCTTTTCGGTTTGTGACTCGAGAACTTGACGCGGGAAGCCAACCATTGGGAGGAATCCTTTATCTTTGGAAAGGCCCACGACGTGTCGAAAGCTGTGCCCCTGCAAATGGCGGACTTGCCTGTGACTCATACATGTTTGCAAAAGCCTTTACGAGGGGCCCTTTCGTCCCGCTCAAAGCCAAGCGAGTGGTTTCAAAGGTTGGTCGGGTCAAACTTGGCAAGTTTCCCTTCGAAGGAGCCACGCGTCGCCGCGTTTGTTCCCGCTTGCGTGTAAATCAGGAAAGACCAACCACGGCCTGGCTTGCTTCGAGCCTCTAAAGGATGAGCACCACACGAGGGTAGCAAGTTAGGAGCAACCTTGTCAGGGCTACTGGGGAGCCAGGATAACTAACCCCTAGTTGAATTTGATTTGGGGCGTGTCGCTTTTAAAAGGGGATCCTCTCATTTTTTGGGAGTTGATTACTCCCAAATAATCACAATCAGCCCCTCCATTTCAAAAACCCAGATCCAACCCCCCAGTACCCGTTACCCTCCCCCATGGCACCTGATAGACTTTCACAGATTTGCCAAGTACCCCCGCTCGGGGTGCTATGTTTGTGGGAGGAAGGGTGATCCACCAGATTGCGGGTTCTAAATAGGCCTTGTCTTGTATTTTGCCCAAAGTGGAGTCCGAAACGGGGACTAGAAGTTCGCGAATCTTCCCAGGCCCCCTATACATCCAGGCCCTGGGTCAATGCAGTGCCAGGAGCACCATCTTCGACGTGCCCGCGCGGATCCTGAAAGCCAACTTCGCGGTGCCCACCGACTCGCTGGAGCACCTCGCTCGCTTAGTGGCGGTTTCAGTGCTTCAGGGGGATCAACCTTCTGGTGCGAGAGATGCAGGGAATGAGAAAGGGAATGACCCCCTGTAAACCATCCAACGGGTGGTTGCCTTTAAACGAAGAGAGAATCTCCAGGATTCATTCCCTCATTCCCTACTCGCACCAAGTCAACCGCTTTGGGAATGAAGCCTTGGTCCCAGGGGACTGCTTTGGGCATTGAGCCTCGGAGTCCTTCCCATCAGTCCCGTCCGCGGAGCAAAGCTCCGCTCGAAAGTTCCTGGGCGTGAAGCCTGAAGGGCCCAGGGTTCACGTGATATTTAGTTGGGCATGCTTGCTTTTCACAGGTATCTGATTTTCGGTTTTGACCAACGGGCTTGGCTCGAAACAGGGCAATCCCAAAAGCATGGTTCCCCTTTGGTTTCCCTTTCGAACAGCTCCAAATTGCTATGGGTATAAACTCGAATGTGCCTCTCCCAGGTATTTTGTGGAACACTTCGCCCAGTTCAACATCGATGGCAGACATCCTCAGCACTTGGTGGTGCTCAGCCCCTCGGCCAGACGCCCCGAGTCCCCTCCCTCCTACATGGTTTTTCCTCGCAGGGACATGGCCACTTTCTGCGGAAAAGGATGTTCCAGGTACTTGGACAGCCCTTCGGGGTGTCAAGGGCTTCCCTTTCAAGAAATGAAAGGATTGAGACCAGAGAAACGGACCCACGGATTTTTGACCCGGGAGAGACACGTGCATCTGATGTGACTTCCCATTTGATGGCGAGCTCACCTGGGAAGGGGATCGCTTGCCTCCGGCTTGGAATGGCTTGGAACTTCTGCAAGATGCTGCAGATATGTTCCCTTGGGGGTCAGCACGGGCATCCCTGCGAAACAAATCGGTAGAAGTACCTTCGGGCAGCACGAAAGGTGGAGCCCGCTTGAAACCCTGACCCAATGATCAGCTACATATCGCAGGCCTGCATGGCAGGGACAATTTAAGTTTGGCCCACGCTTTGAGTTGCTTTCCGGTACGCCTCGTAGGTGCTAAGGAGGGGTGCAGTCCCTCAAAGAACAAATGGGTGATTTGTGTAGAAGTTCGCTGAACACCCGGAAAGAAGGTGGATGTTACCATGCCGAAATTGATAGATAGCTCCCACTGCGAAAGCAACACCCCGACATTGGAATTGCAAGAATAGCAACGCGTGCTGTTGGTCTCATTTTAAGCGCTGCAGATGCTGCCGACGAGAACGTGGTCCACGCCGTTCACGATTCTGTTTGGCATGCGTTAATTGGACAAAAGGCTTGAGAGAATGCTCAGGTGACATCAAGGTGTGCTACCACAAGAATTGGCGGGACTACAGGGCATCCCAACAGCAAGTTGGAGTGGCATGATTGGAAGCATAGCGTGGGACAAGATGTGAACAAATCACCCGTGTTTGCCGGTGGTGCCCGACGATATGTATCATGTTCCAACGGCCCGTGTGTCTCCATTTGTTATTTGATTGTATGTAGGTGTGTGTGTGTGTGTTGTGTTGTGTTTTGTGTGTTGTGTGCGTACTTCTTTGGCTGTAACTCTTCAGAAGCTCGGTGAGCGAGGCGGAAGGAGATCCCCTTTTAATATTCTTTTACTACCCACTGAGCACCAGCAAGGTGAAGGATGCATCGCATCGTTGAATGTGGAACCGAGCTTTGACTAGCCGGAGACTTGTTCACTTCGCTTGCCGCTAAGGACTGCATGTCTGCCTTCTGCCTCACAGCCTACATGGGCGAAAGCAGCGCCAAGTGTCAGAAGGATACAGTTTCCGGCACCTGCAAGAACTACGACAAGACTGGCATCTTCATACCTCCCCCAGACATAGCTGCTGGTCTCAATCAGATGGAAGCTTCAGAAGTAGCGGTCCTCTTGGCAGTGTTGTGGATTGTGGAATGGGATTTGCCATGCCGGCCCCCCATTTTGAACAGCCCAGGATATTGAAGTCAGTAGGGTGCTGACTTTCAAACCAACGAGCCCTGGGCAATTTTTACACACAGGCACACATATATGTTTTATGTTTACAATATGTTTGCATATACATATAGATGTATCTATGTATGTTTGGTTTCGGGTGGCTCCATAATTTTCGTGTGGGTCGTTCCACTTGGCACGCATCTGAGGTCAGCGGCGAGGTGGAGGAGGATGAGGATGCCCGCACCCAGGCGGGAAAGACCCGCAAAGCTATGATGAAAACTATCTTGTGAGTTTGGCTTGATGGGCGGTCTCCGCACTTCAGGGTGACTACTTCATGCGGACGAAACGAGCTGAAGCAATTACACATGTTGGCCCTGAGACGCATTCAGCAGACGGCTTCTCCCTTCGTCACCTCTCGCGATAGTGGAGGCTGACCATGCATAGCTTGGCATGCTTCCCGGAGAAAACGGCCGAGCATGGGTCATGTTTGCCCCTTGTTGTGCCCACGCTGACAGGAGCTAAACGAAGTGGTGACTGGCGGGAACCAGTCGCTTTGCGTGGGCGCAGCCGACCGAAAGCCGCTGGCCTTTCTTGGGGGATCCGGAGGGTGCAGGTCGGTTTGATTGAAGAGGTCGAGTGGGCGGATAGGTTGCACACAAGCCAGCCACGGGGAATGTCTGAAGCATTGAATTTGCGGTGGCATTTCCTCTAGGAAACACGGACAGTTCCTCCGCTTGAGGCATTCCCCCTTTAAATTGAGAAAGTGCCATGGTGGCCCACTTGGGTACCGCAGAAAGGCATGATTCCCACAACCACCGCTGGGAAGCAGTGCCAAATGTATTCTCATGAATTTCCCAGCAGCTTGAGGTGCTCCTGCTGGTTCCAGCTCTGTGCCTTTCGATCTTTTGCAGGGTTTTTCAGTGGTTTCCCTACCTACTAATTGGTGGTTTGGGGATTGGAACCCCTGATTCACCATCCGCAACCACCAAACCACCAATCCAAACCACCAATAAGAGGGAAGCTGAAATGACCAATCCCTTTTGGGCCCCCTTCTCTTCTGTCAAGAAGGTCACTGGTCGCAACCAGGGCCCACCCAGTGCCCTGGCCTCAGGCTGTGCGATGTCTTCGTCACGCTGCAGAAGGCCTCTGGAGAGGATGTGGCCGAAGGCCGGTCTTGGCCAGTTGGATCCGATCCCCAAATGATACAAGTTAAAAAAGCAAACAAAAACCAACTTCCGGAGTTCAGAAGCAGGCTCATTTTATGTTTTAGGCTGGGAGTATGAAGCATCAGAGAACGTGTCTTTTTGTGCACCCAGCTGGCCAACTTACAAAGACCCTGGGGCGGGAAACTTAAGTTGTGGCACAGTTCCGCGAAGGGAAATCCCTTGAAGGTAAGAAGGTAGTCACAGGGTAGCCCACTTGGGTTCGCTGCAAAAACACGGAACGCAAAGGGAGGCGTTCCCCAAAAGGAGTCGTCTCTCTCAATGCATGTGTGTGTGTGTGGGTTTGTGGGTTTTGAACACTTATGTAAAGTTCCATGTTATTCTGCGGGCGGGCATGCCCTACAACCGTGACAAGGAGGACTAAAGGCAGCGATTTGGTTGACGTGTTTCCTTTGCCTGCATGGTCAGTTGTTGTTCATTTGCTGATCGCTGGGATTTAACTATAATATATACTTATGTCATGGCATGCTATTTATACGCCTGGGGTACTGTATGTG